CAAAGCCATTTTCTGTTATATTTGATGCATTCTGCACTTTTGTTTTTCTTTGTCACTAACGGGTTATTGGTCTGGTTTGGAGGTCTCTGAATTCACTCTTTGATCTCCTAGTGGTGCAAGGGGGCGATGCCCTCTGCAGCGGGGCACCCTGGGTTGTGTCTGTACAGTTGGGCTAACGCTAGAGAGAACAGTTTGCTGCTGTGCTCCGGTTTTAGATCGCTTCTGCTTTCTCTGGCTACTGTGCCAGTCCAGCAAAACGCTGAAATGCTACGTTATTATCCCTTGGCTATAAATTGAATATAAAGGATCGCTTTGCATTGCAAATTCACCGTGCGATCACAAGAGGGACCAGCTGAGACCTGCTGTGGGGGGTGGCCAAGCCCGCACGCCCGGCGGCCTGGGGCTTCGCTGCTCACCCTGGATGCTGCGGCTCTCCGCCCCCCCCCGGGATGCTGCGGCTCTCCGCCGTGTCCCTCGCCCCGGCGGCTGCTCTGCTGTCACCTCCTCCGCCAGTCCCCCTGCAGCACCGGGGGCTTTCGGCATGGCTTTTTTGCCTCCTGTCCTTCCAAAGAGCTGCTTCTCTCCCAGCACAGGAAGACCCAGGAGGAAAGAGGGAAGGTGCCCTTTCTCTTTCCCCGTAGCGCTTGCATAGGGCCCTTCACTGGCAGCCCCGGGGACTGGGGAGGAAAGGTTTTCCCATCCCATTCCAGACCTCTAACTTGCTTGTCGAGGGCTCGGCACGTGCTTCGGTGCTTTCGTTGCCCGCTCCTCCAGCGCGGCGCGCCGGGGGCGGCCGCACGAACGCGCGTGCCATCCAAAACTGCCGCTGCAGGGCTTGGCATTTCCCTGGCCCTGAACAAAACCGCGGGCTCTGAAATGGGAAGCTGTTTGCTGCTTGCAAATAAAAAGGTGCTGGTGGTGCATCACCAGGCGAAGCGAAAATCAGACGGTTTTTACCGGAGGGAGTTTTGCAAACTGGCTGCAGTTTGCACTGTCAGAGAGAGAGGAGGCGGCGTAAGCTCTGGAAGACCGAAAAGGGCAGAAATCCCGGCCCTGCTGCTGCCGCACCAGCGGTGGAGATGGGAAACGTCATCCTCGCTGCCCAGAGCGATGCCCGAGCCGTGCCGGCCGGCGCGGGAAGCTTTCTCCCTCTGCCGGCTGCAGCCTGGATTTAGGAGTTCCCGCACCTTTGGGCTAAGCCTATTTGTTTTGGGGTTGTGTTTTTTTTTTTTTTTGCACGAGGGGGCTGCGATTGCTGCTTTCAGACCCGTGCTGGGTCTGCTGGTGCTGTCGGACGGGATATTCTTCCCTTCCCGCGGAGAAAAGTGCATGGTGGAAGAGAGCCCTGATTTGGAAAATATTTTAATTGCAGCAGAAGTATAAGCACAAGGCTGAACTGAGCAGATGTGGTACCCTTCTTATCGCTGGCCTTCCTATAAAAAGGCACTACTAGCTCTTTAACTTCAGCCCAAATTATTTTATTTTATGCATTTTTCACTAGTTTGAGAGAGCTGAGCCGGACTCGGGCCCTGCTGGTCAGGCCACCCTGCATCGCTTCCTGCAAGCGGCATCCCTCCGCTCGGCGGGGAGAAGGAAAAAAAACCTCGGCCTGTAATAAAGATGATGCCGTTTTAGGGAAGAAGGGGCTTCGGCCCCTCTGCAGGGGTTTGCCTCAGCAGAGGGGCCTGCAGCACCAGGGCGCTGCCTCGCTTACAAAGCGAACCGGGATTTCTTTGGTGCCTTAATGCAATTCATGGGGCAAAGGTAGCTGCTTTTTGGGCAAGATAATGCTGTTTTTTTTTTTTTTTTTAAAAAAAAAAGGCCATTAGCTGCGGTTTTCAATGGGTGTCCAAGGTGCCAGAGCCCTTTCCTCCAGCCCGGGCATCCGTGGAGGGTTTGTGCCCTGGGAACTGGGCTGGGGAAAGAAAACTTGGATTTTTGGGGAGGAGGATTTTTGCAAAAAAAACAAACCAAACCCCTTGGAAAGGGAGGGTGGAAACCCAGGGCCGAGGAGCAGGCGAACAGGGAAAGGGTTGGGAAGCCGAAACTCCCAAGCCCCGGTGGAAAAGCTTCCCAAAATGAAGTGCGTGGGAATCCCAGAATAAAGCAGGGGGAGAAAAGGTAAAAAGGTAATAAATAACGTGCTGGCACACTTATTTTTTTTCCCTTCCCCTTCCCTTGGTCTACTTTTCCTCCTAGCGTGCTGCATGTAGAAAGAGAGAAATTATTTTTGTTCTGGAGATACTGAAATATATTTATTTTGTGGTAAGAGATGATCTAGTTTGGAAACGCTCCGCGTTGTAAATAAAAAGGGGTGGGAGGGTGGGGGAAAGAAAGAGATGAATGTTATATGCCGGTTAAAACCCTCGTCGTCCGTTTAGCTTTTAATTTGGGTTCGTTCCGTTCCCCCCCCCCCCTCTGGCGTAATGGGAAAATAATGCAATTAAAAAAAAAAAAAAAAGACTTGTTTGTCCCTGCATTTCGAAAGGGTTGTTGGATCGCTGCCTTGGTGTTATGGCGAGCGAGGAGCTGCTGAAGCTGGGGAGAGAATCGCACGAGAATGAGCCGTTCCTCAGCCCCGAGCGGTGTTTTGTACCGTTTGGAGAGAATTGAGCCCCAAAAGGCTCTCGCTGCCTCACCTCCAGCGATTTTGCTGTGTTTTGGGGGTTTTCTTATTTTATTTTTATCACCGGGAGGGCTCGCGGGGCGCTCAGCAAGGCGCAGGCTCGCCGTGCCTTGGGCAAATCTCCCCAACCTCGGGGATTTGCAACAAACCTCGGGGATTTGCAAAAAAAATAACCTGGGTGTCCGAGCCACCGCTGGGGGTCCGGAGCGCGGGAACCCCCTCGGCTGCACCCCGGACCGGGGCCCTTCTGCAGCCGGGAGAGAAAGGGCCTTTTCCAGCCCCCGGGCGACTCAGCCCCGCACCCGGCGGCTTAGTTAGAGAGGTCAGAAAAGAGCTGCCGTATTTCGCAAAGCTTTATTACGAGCCGAGGGGGGGAAAAAAATGCGTGAACTGCAGCCTCGGGAGCGCGGTTACGGGCAAAACGCGGCCGGAGAAGCGACGGCTGGAAGGAAAAATCTAGCCCCCGACGTCCGCGGGCGACGATTGCGCGGAGAAGGTAATTTAGAAGCAGCGAACGGGGTAACGCGGTTGTGGATAAATCCTTCCCGCCGAGCATCCCGTTGCCGCCGGCGACGGAGAGGTCGACAGCCAAGGGCTGATGCTGCTGGAAAGCCGATGCCTCCAGGCGATGCTTAATTATACCTAAAAAGCAAACAGAGCTTCATGGAAGAGGCATGCCCCCAGCAGCCCTTGGAAGGGCTGCCCTCATGCTAAAAACAAGTGATTTGCCGATATATTTTAAAAATTATGGGCTTATTTGGTTCTAATTACGGCGCAAGGGGTATGCGAGCATTTGCTGTTCGCGAGAGTCGCGTCCGACTCACCCGGCGGGGAAGGAGAGACCGCGGGCATCTTCCTTCAGGTACCTCTTTGTGGAGCTGCAGAAAAGAGGGGAAAAAAAAACCCAGAAAATGGAGGGGAAAACCCCCCCAAACTCACCCTTGAGCCCAAGTTGCCCGTGCAAACATTGGGCCAACGCACCCTCCGCGCTCGTGGCAGGTTTCAGAGGGGGAGAAGTGATGCTGAACGTCTTCTCTCTCCCGTCTGCCCCGCCAACGTGGCCAAAACCAACAAGGAGGTTTTTCCATCGGAGATCGTAATTTGCTTTTTTGCTCCGGAAACGCGAGCGGGAGGCGGCGGGAGCTTATGGCCCCGGCTCCCTCTCCCCGCTTACCTGTAGCGCTTGGTGTTGATGAGCCAGTGCACGAAGTCCTTGGCCTTCATCCTGTCCAGGTAGTGGGTGAAGTCGCTGGTGAAGGTGCCCTCCGAGTGCCGCTTGAGGGCGGCCGCGAAGCTCCGGGCGCTTCGCGATTCGTAAGACTGCCATCTGCCCGAGCGCGGCCAAAAAAGGGGATTTTTAATTTTTTTTTGGTGTGCGTGCTTATTAAATCCAGGGGAAACGGGGCTCTGAGGCTCTACGCGAGGGTTTTTCCCACCCAAAAAGGCCAAGGCCGGGGCCATAAAGGGTTTTCCCGCGGTGGCAGGTTCTCCAAAACAGCATCTCCGAACTATAATAATAGCGGAAAAAATAATAATCGGGCTCCGGCTCTGCCGAGTCTGGCCAGGGAGGACAGGCCACACCGCGATTGGGCTTTAAATCAAATTTATGCAACGTCCTGCCCCGTATTGCCTGTGCCAGGTGCTGCTCGGCCCCGTTTGTGCCTCCGCGCCGGTCCCCGCTTGCTGCTCCTGCCACCTTTGAGCTCCGATAACTTTTTCTTGCACTTTATTAGCAATTTTCTGGCTTTTTGGCCAGCTCCTTTCTATTCTTCCCCCACCTGCCCCATTCCCCCTCGGTTTCGCCATCGGGATGGCAGCGTCTCCCAGAGCGAGATGCTCCCGGCGCCAAAGGATTTATTTCCTTTCCCCTAAGGAAAAAGAAAAAAAAAAAAAAAAAGAAAAAAAAAAGAAAAAAAAAAACCCAAACCCAAACGTTTTGATAAGGAGGCTGCCCCGTACCTGGACTCTTTGGCCAGGTCCTCGAGGTCCGTCCGGCAGCCGGCGGGGAGCAGCACCGCCCACGCCAGCCCGGAGAGGTGCAGCCACCCTATGATTTTCATCTGTCCTCCTGGGCGCTGCAGAAGGGGAGGCAGAAAGAGGGTCCCGCGTGCCGTTAGAGCCCCCCGCAGCCCCCGCCGGAGCCCCCACGGCGTAGCACGTCCTTCCTGGGGCCGTTTGCAGCATTTTTGATGGGCGCGTGTGAAAATCGCGCCCTAGGACGCGGGTCTCTAGCGGCGCGTGTGACATGCCTTGGTTAGGCAGCCGCGAGAAAGCGTCCGTGCGATGCGAAGCTGCAACGCGTAGCTTTGGACTTCATCACAAGCCTCCCCTTTCTACCTAGGAGCAATATTTCTCTCACTGTCTTTTATCACTGCAATATTTGCAAACTTTCCCGACTCTTAGCTTCCCAGAAAACTAGTGTTTAGAAGAGTCGATTAATTATGGGTTTACATTTCTCGCCCTTGCCGGCTGGCTCAGCGTTTCCGGGGTAAGCTGCTCCCGAATAAAGTGCTCCCCAACCAAGCAGCTCAGCCTTGGTTATCAAGTTCAAAATCCAAGCGATAATTCAAACCCCCCGCCCAAACTTTCCTGAAAATTAGGCTTCTGCTTGCTTATCATAAGGCACTTTCATTACTCTGCTTTAATTTCTGCAGAGCCCCACAGATCAGCAGCAAAGAAGGGAGGGAAAGGCGCTTACCTTCTGCAAAGACAACCGTGCTCCTAAAAGCAAAATCCTGTTTTCCTCCTTCGATTCGGTTGTGGCTAAACCCTACTCCTTACCCGTGCTTTTAAGCTTGTTAGCAGGATGCTCAAAGATGACAGGTAGGTCAGCTGTACTCCTGTTTTTAGTTGGATGGGTCATTATGAATCATTACAGGGCTGTTTTTTTTTTTGAAGTGGGGCTGTTGCAAAAAATATAGTTGTTGCCATATTTTTCAGCTTATGCCTTCAGCGAAGAGGGTTGTTGTTGTCATTGCTGCATTGCTTATCTTTTTTTTTTTTATTATTATTATTATTTTTTCATCCCTGGGACCAGAGAAGTGACCTTCTGGGTTTCTGCCTTTCAGGTGAGCTGGCGCCTCATTGCCACAGCGCATCTCCCGGAGAGAAGTGACGTCTGCGCCCGCGGGGCCGCTCTCCCAGACACCTTTGGTTGGAGTTGCAGTGGAAGGGGGGGAAAAAAGGAAAAGCAAGAACAAAAATGAAAAAAGAAGCTTTAGGGTACAAAAGCACCTGCAGTCGCTTGCTGCAGTATCAGGGATTTTTAAGGTCGCGGGTTACATCTCACATCAGCTGGGCGGGCGTCACTGGGCAGAGCCCAGTTTTGTCCCCCAAAATAGCCAGAGGGAGTTCGAACCGGGGGAGTTGGTCATCGTTACTTTGCTTTGGGGGCAGCCGGGCTCCCAGCGCTCGACCGCGGGTCTGGGCCGGGTTTCTCCCGCGTGGGACCCTCGGAGCGGCCCCAAGTCCCGGGGGCAGCGTCTGCAGGAACAAGGGTTTGGGGAGCTCTTGGCTTAAGAAAGCTCTGCAGTTCACTGGAGGGGATAAACGTGCCCTTTTCACAAGCTCGTGATCAACGGACAGAGAAAGCCAAGTAGCAGCTGGCCGGGACCACGACCACCCTCGCCGCTGGGGTGGAGGAGCAGAGATGTCCCCCACTGAGGCTCCCGCAGATGCCAGCACCTCATCCCTGCTCTGCTCCTCCCTCTCCCGCCGGCGTTGGCGGACAGGACGCGGGCTCCGAGTCCGCTGCCACTTAACTGTCGTCTCATCTGGGAACTTTTGGGTAATTATAGCTGGGCTACCAAAGAGATTTCCGTAATTATTGTCCCTGTCACAACATGACTAGTGTTCGGGGGACACAAGTCTAGAAGAGCCTTAATTAGGGCCAAAAGTGGCCTTAGGAGGAAGGCTGGCTTCGGGGGAGGCAGGTACGAGATTAATTGGCTCAACCTTGGGTGGAGAGGGACAGAACTGGGCTGAGCTCCAAACCGTCACTTGGAAGAGCTGTTTATTAATGATGCTGTCAAATTAACGATGTTGAGTCGTTGCCTCCTTTCCTGGGGAGGCACACGAGCTAGCTAGCTGCAGCGATGGGGAGCTGGGGAAGGAAATCCCGCCTCGGCCAGCGTAGGGCAGCTGTGTTGGGGTGTAGAGCCGGGTTTTGTCCCGTTTTTAAGTTTTTATGAGCAGTAGGTGGCAGCCTTCATCTGCCTGGCCTTGGTCTGCCTCATCCTGGTCCGCCTCATCCTGGTCCGCCTCCTCCAGGTTGCTCCGTGGCTCTCGAAACACCGTCTGGCCAGGGACACCGGCTGGGCATGGGCTTCGCTGTCCATCCCCCTTGTCCCTTGGGGATGGAAGACCCTGGCTTGGGGGCTGCACAATGATGCCACTAGCCTGGTTGGGTTGGTTTTGGGTTCAAATCCCTGCTTTTCTCCTGCTCCCGGTGCATCTTTGGAGAAGCTTTAGATACTCAACCTCCTCCACAGCCCATCGTCCCTTCCAATCTTCTCTGATCCCATCACATGATGCCTGCCCCCAACCAGGTCAGAAGCAGAGCTTAGGCTTAAGCCTATGCTTAAAATGCAGCGTAGACCTGCCAAATCTCATGCTGTTGGCAGCCAGCTCCTGCTTTTGGTCTCCGTTTCCCTGCCTGGAGAGAGGTCAGTAGGGCTGGTGCACCTTGACTTCTCCGTGTGTGAAGCCTGCAGGCTCGAGGGAACCCCCAAGGCACTGTAGACACAACAACCAGCCGATGTGAAGCCAGGCGGCACTTAATTTTGGACAGACTTACTGCAAATAAGAAGGAATAAAAGGCTTTGAACGCACCCTCTTGGCTCCTCCACAAAGAGTTTCCTGCAGGAGGGACTGGAGTGGTCTGCGTTTTGGGTCCAAATCAGTGCGAGAGAGAGCAACGAGGGGGAAAACCCGCTCCCTGCACGTCCCCCCCGTCCCCCCCCTCGGCCGGCTCCATGATTCGGAAACCGCACTTGTAGGCAATGTTATACCTGCCGACAGTGCCTAGAGCCAAGGCGTAACTGGGCAAAAAAAGACCTTCTCGGGTCAGTGGTTGGACCTGAAACATCTCATTCAGGGTGACGCTGAGTGCGCAGTTTCATTTTCAGCTGCTTTTGGCCTTTTTCCCGTGTTTTCCTTTACCCGCATTCCTTAAAAGCCAAAGGAGGGCCATTAAAAAAAGGATAATCTGCGCTGCCCTGCAACGGGAAGCTGAAACGGGGGGACACCAAAGGGAGGTGTTTTGGCAGTTCCAGCACAATGCGGTTTGTTTTCCTGTCTCTTTTCCACTCTGTGCATATTTTTTGGGCAGAAACTTGGGTTTGTCTTTGATGCTGCAGGGTGGGGGGGGGTCACAGCCTCCTGCTTCATGCTCTTGTTTTTTCTTCGCTGCTGGGGAGGAGGAGCGTGGTGGGAAGCTGAGGTGGGGCTGAGTTACACGTGGGCCATGACTAGCTGCTTTGGACCCATAGGTCCTTAGGAATAGGGGTCAATGCCACATAACCCAACCCCAAATCAAGCTCGGCCTGTAACTCCCACGCTGTGGAGCTCCGTTTTTGAGGAACGTATCGCTTTTCTCCCAACGGCACGGATGGAGGTGAAGGAAACGGGGTGAGATCCCTCCCGCACCCAGCTCCCATCGCTCGCCCGTCCTTGCAAGAAGGAAAGCTGCGGGGTGCCACGCGGGAAACTTCAACGCGTGCCTGGAGAAACGGAAAACTGGTTTAGTAGTGGATGGGAGGATGGGGAAGCAGGTTGCACCCATGCCGGCTCATCAGGCTGGTCCATGCGTGAGTTACGGGGGAGCTGCAGGCAAAAGCCACCAGGGTCCAAGGAGGGGGTCTCACACGAGGGGTGTCCAGCTGCCATGGCATCTCCGCGTGAGCCCCCTGCTCCTCGCTCATCAGTGGAGACCAGCCGGTCACTGGGCACCATGTGAAGCCCCTCACTCCTGCCGTAATTAACGTGTTTTTACCTCCTTTGGCTCAAAACCCCTGCAATCAGCCCCAGCAGGGCGAGCAGGATGCAGCGCACCTGGCTGGTGGGTGTTTCCCCAGCTGTGCCGGGTGCTTTCAGGGTGCACCAAGCGAGCTGTGGGTGCACCAAGAGGTCTGGGTGCCTCGGGCACCCTATGGGGAGCTGAGCTGAGCTGAGCTGAGCGGGGTGCTGCTGGGCGAGCAGAGCCACGAGCACGGGGCGAAGCTCCCAGGTCACCTGCAGGTTTGTGATTTTCCAGCTCCGCGTGATGGTTGGGTCTGGAGAAGGGTTCGGTTCCCCACCTTGGGTGGTTATATGCTTGCAGGCCGCTAAAATCTTGATTTGACAGGGTTTTCTTGGTTGACGGAAGGCTGCTCCTTACCCTGAGGAAGGAAAGCAGAGGGTGACGTTGACGCTTTCCTCCTTTTCAACGCCCTCCCTGGCTTTGAGATTTGGAAAACTTTGCCAAACTCCTTCTTTTTTAATCTGCTTTTTTTTTTTTTTCTTCCCCCTTGCTTTGCCCATCACTTTATCCAATGCTTATATATAACCTAACGAGCCAAGTCGCTGGCGACTGGACAACCCTGGTCCTTTTAGCCGGGCGCGTGATTCCCCGGCAGAGCCCTTTCCTGGCCGCCCGCGGTGCCAGCGCTCTTTGCAAAACGGCCTGACGAAACCTGCTCTCGCCGCCCGCCTCAACTTCTTCGCGTGCAAATGCAGCAATTAATCCCGGGTGGTGCTGGCGCAATTAGATGACAAATTACGCCTCGAGACGCGCTTGTGCAGCCGGCGGAGCGGCGTTTGCTCCGTCCGGGGCCGGCCGGACGGCTG